GTTGCCTTTGTGTTGAGAACACCTCCGGGAAGGGTGTTAATGGTGTCGACCTGATCGGGAATGTCAAAGACAAGGGTTGGGTCGAAGGGGTGCTGCCATTTCTTGCCCTGAATGCAAGTCAATGATACGAGTGCTCTCTGAAAGCCATTAGACTGAGCCAAGTCTTGTGGAGACAAATCCAGTTTTGTCACATCAATACCTCTGACCATACGCTGGATTCCCGACGGAAAGTTCAAGCATTGATCGGCCGATTGGGTCGAACCTATCGCCGCTACAATGCAAACAACTTTCAGTAAACTTAAAAGTTTAGTCATTTTGATCCAAGTATCGAAAGACAATGATATTTATTATGACATTCACTTAAATACTTTACTAATCCTTGGGTCCTATGCTCAAAGATTGAACTTCAAACATTTGTCATTTTATACATCAAATTTGATTATAATATCTGATGATATTATATAATAAGATAACAAATAACATTAGTATTATAGCATCCGTGTAACTTATGGTGTCTTTATTAAATCATTTTAATATTTAAGAATTGAACAATTAAATACACAATTTCGTTATAGTTAGAGATAAAATGAATATTGAAAATAGAGATGAGATAAAGGATTAATTGTATGTTTTATAAGAAACTTAAAAAACATATTTTGTACCAAATGTCAAGTACCTGAGTATCTAGTGTCAATTATCGCACTAAATGTCTAAATGTACTCATGATATGTCATTGAATATGTGCGCTGAGATTCTGTTCACTTCATGTCATGGGATATCCATAAGAATGAAGAAATCAAATGATTTCTTGACTTGAATTAAATGACTGAAGAAATCAAATGACTTGAGTATATCTTTTGCTTCATTTTCTCCTTTTCATTCTTCTGATTGATTAAAATGACATATTTTAGGGCCAACACAACGAAGCATATGGACATGATTTGGGAAATTATAAAAATCACAACATTGTCTCTATTGAACGGGACGAGTATCTCACAAATAGTGACTCCACTCATGAATGCGATACCGAATGGATGCTCACGTATTACCACATATAGGAAGATAGCCATAGAGATGGACAGCATATACGCCAACAATAGGTTTATAAGTGTTTGAAAGTTGTTGAGCAAAACATAGTCAACATCCTTGTCATAGTAATACACGTCCAATAGTTTGCCATAATTTTGAGTTTTTTGCATAAATAAATAGGCGCAAACATAAGCACCGATGAATAACTTGAAGCAAATTAGCGTTAATTTAATTACTCGTAAATTGTACTTGAAATGATCTGAAATCTGTGATGATTTGCTAAAATTCAAATTATATTTCATTTTTTAAATGCAAACACTTTTGGAAAACGAGTAAAAATAGACTTAAACAGAGGATTGTGTGTATAATAAGCGATAAATTTGGGTTTCAAGTCTTCAAATCTAAACATTTATATACATTATAACACGATTTGCAAAAACTCGTGTTAATTCTATATATGATTTTAATGCCATTTGTTTGCTTAGCATATGTTTAGAGCATATGTTTTTATAAATAAATTAATGTACCAGTATAGATTGAAGTGCTGTTTAGATGTTTATTGTAATTCCACAAACATTAATACATATGATAACAAATTATTTGAATTTCATTTGAACACAAATTTAATAATCACATCATTTCTTCAACAGGTATTAAAATATTTTTAATAGCTGAAAATTTAAATAAGTTTTTAATGATAACAAATGGATTAACATTCAAATAATTTATAGAAATAAACATTTAAATCACATGAGATAGCTTATCTGCAATAAAGTAATTTTGCTGAAAACATATTTTTAGAAATTTAGCTTAACTTTTGTTTTTATAGTAGAGTGTAGTTTATTAAAAAGATATATATTATTAAAGGTTTTCATATTTTTTGTTAACCAAGCTTACTGTATATTAACTTATTATTGCATTTTGAATTTTGCAATCCATAGTATTTCAGATTTATTTTACATTTAATGTTTTATTAAAAATATTAAAATAAGAAAATGTTCATAACCTTAAGCTCATTTTGTAAAGATTTAAATTTCAAAATTCAATTTAGTAATAACTAAAATATTACAATCATCTTATAACATTACATTTTGTATACAGTAATTTAATTTAGTTATAGTCTAATATAATTTAGACCATAACTTATAGTAATAATTTAAACAAGAAATTTATGTGGCAAATCATATTGCTTCAATTTCTTGGTGCTTCTAATGTAAGTCATGATCGCAAAAATTAGTGCCAAAGTGTTGAATACAACTGATATGACCACTGATGGTATG